GCCAGATATCCGAGCGTTTAATTTACCTAAGATTTTTTTAAAGATCTTTATAAAACAGACGTTTCTGTTTCTTGAAGAAAATAAGATTAGGTTCGTAATAACGTAAAATAGATTATTTTTTTCACAATTAATATTCCGTGATTGAAATGTTATTGCCACAATAGAAAAGGATACTGGTACTTTTATAATTTCTTTTAAAAAGGGATACATTTGTTCAAAGTTTCGTGAAAGTTTTGTCATTAGAAGTTGCCTGATTTAATGATTATGCACCATAAAATTTTCCATAGCCAGATAATTCATATATATTGAGTATGTGTTAGAAAATTTATATTAAGTGCTTGGGAGTGTTTTTGTTGATGTTACTTTTGTTATTCTACGACAAAATATACTTCCTACACTGTTAATCACATTAATGTATTTTCAATGAGAGGAAGCTGTACGTCTTGCTAGCCTACAGAAGGTCGATGACTCTACTCATGCAGATGCCCGCTCTTACCTGAAGTAACGAACGCAGGAAACCGGAGGTCTACCTTTCACCACCCATCCTCGGTAACCCAGGCTATTTACCGTTTACAAGTTAGATTTATAATATCAAATGTAGTATATACGGAATGTGTACAGAGTTTTCTCCACTCCCATCTTCAAGGTCGGTGTGACTAAAAATTCATCAAAACGTACACACAATAAAACCTATATTTGTCATTGACAAAAAAATTTGCCATGATTTTTTTCATGTGCCTTACGATAAACATTTCAAATTTTCAACACATAAGAGAAAAAGGTCCATGGAATAGAGAATGAATAAACGATAACTTCTAATTACTATAGTCATCACTAAAATGTTATAATGAAATCTCTTTTTTTTTCCTTTTTTTTTCCAAATCCGACATATAGCAAATCACATTTTGAAGATTATTGTCATCTGCCGATTCCACAAAACATATTCATATTAATTTTCACTCTTAACTTACTTACTCAGCCAGGAGCGATTGTTATGTGTAGATTAGCTTTTCTTCTTGAGCACTTGTGCTCTATAAAGTGCTCTTGTGACGAATTATATGTCCGTCGTATGTTTTCTTTAAGCAACATATCTTTCTAAAGCATATGGTAGATTTTTACGAAACTTCACAGGATAAGATGGCTCTCTACTAATGGTTTCAATCAGATGTACGAGCAAGGAACATAATAATATTTCTTAAATCACCCCTTAAAGGTTAGAATTAGTATTGATTGTTGTTTTTATAACTTGGATAATCATGAAAAAAATCAACTCTAAATATTATTCAATGCAAAAAGTTTAAGGATTTTACAGTCCTGGTAAATCTCTGCCAAGTTTTACTGAATAAACAAAACCTACGAGAAAATGTGGAACCATAATGTTGGTTAATGTGTTCACAACAGATTTCACCTCACAGGCTCCTAACTTGACTTTTTTCATCATTTAATCAACATACATTCATATACATTTAAGCGCGTCGATTGATAAGTAAATCTTTAGATGTTGAAATAGAGAAAATAAGAATCCCTAAAGAAAGTCCAACACAATATTATTAAAAGTCAACAATAAAAATGTAACATATGTAACAATGTTTTCTTTTTACATCGTAGCAAGGTTGTACAGTCCGAAATGATTTACATGGTTAAACATATAATTATTTACGATTTTACAGAACGAAGTATGTTTTGTGTGGAACTAAAAATATTGTTTTGCTTGTAAGGTACAGACATTTCCTCGTGAACAAAGGCTGTCATATTTTAACACACACTATTGTGCTTCCTCATCCGTATTTCTGTGATTTTTGATAATTACAAGCCCTTGAAAACAAAAAGTGTGCTCCCCAAAGTACAAGCAATTGAGTCTTACAGGTGCGGATATTGCTCTTTTTTAGAAATATAATAAAAAAGAGTCTGCATTTTTACCTTGTTAGTCCCCGGAGGGGACTTAATATATACCGTCAGTCCGTCCGTGTGTCCGTCCGTCCGAGCAAACATTTTGGTTAAGGGGCTATGTAACAGTAAAGAGAACAAAACAGAACAATAGGTTCATTCCGTGATCAAAGGGTTTATGGGCTAGAAGCCCTTAAGAAAACAAAGAAAATAACAAAGAAAATAGCCCCTTAACCCAAAATGTTGGAACGTCCGTCCACAAAACAAGATCCCGTGATAACGCAAAAAGTACAGATCGATCTTTTTATATTAAACTTGATATATGGATAGATGGCAGTCTGGATATTACGTACGTCTTTCTCTTTTCTTCCTATGTTGAAAACTTTGGTTGCCATGGCAACAAATCGACTGAAAATATGGCAAATTTAACACATAAATATGATCCAATGATATCGCAAAAAGTAATGAAATTTTTGTGTGTGAAACTTTATATATGGGTAGATGGCAGTCAAGCGATTATGCATGTCCTTTTCTTTTCTTCCTATATTGAACAAAAATAACAAGTAAAAGTAAACTAAAAATATGGGTAGATGGCAGTATGGAGATTATACACATCATTTTAATCTTGACTATAGGGAGTATATTAAGAGCTGTCCTCGGCGAATTCTAGTTTTTACGCTTTTTCACCATAAGTTCTTTAATTACTTCAAACATTAAATATTTCTGATCATCAACCAGACCATATGTGACAAGGTGTACAACACTAGCACAAAAATATCATAATTTTACTTCCCTTAAACACAGAATTTTCATGGAAAAAATGTTGTTGTTTTTGTGATCGCTTTTCGTCCGGCGTCCGTCCGTTGTCCCCCCGCCCGTCCGTCCGTAAACTTTTACTTTTAATGACATCTCCTCATAAACCACTGAGCCAATTTCATCCAAACTTCACAGGAATGTTCCTTTGGTGGTCACCTTTAAAAATTGTTCAAAGAATTTAATTCCATGCAGAACTCTGGTTGCCATGGCAACCGAAAGAAAAAACTTTAAATATCATCTTTTAAAAAACCAAAATAGCTAGAGCTTAGATATTTGGCATGAAGCATCTTCTAGTGAGTGTCTACCAACTTTGTTCAAATAAAAGCCCTGGGGTCAAAATTGGCCCCGCCCAAGGGGGTCATTGATTTTCCCTTTATGCATATAGTAAAAACTTAAAAAATCTTCTTTTAAAGAACCCAAAGAGCTACAGCTAAGATATTTAGCATGAAACATCTTCTAATGAGTGTCTTCCAAGTTTGTACAAATAAAAGCACTGGGGTCAAAATTGGCCCCGCCCCGGGGGTCATTGATTTTCCTTATATGTGTATAGCAAAAACTTCAAAAATCTTCTTTGAAAAAACCCAAATAGCTAGAGTTTAGATATTAAGCATGAAACATCTTCTATAGTGAGTGTCTACAAAGTTTATTCAAATAAAAGCCCTGGGGTCAAAATTGGCCCCGCCCCGGGTGTCATTGATTTTCCTTATATGTGTATAACAAAAACTTAAAAATCTTCTTTGAAAAACCCAAATAGCTAGAGTTTAGATATTAAGCATGAAATATCTTCTAGTAAGTGTCTACAGAGTTTGTTCAAATATAAGCCCTAGGGTCATAACTGGCCCCGTCCTTGGGGTGTCATTGTTTTAAGATATATTTGTATAGTAAAAACATAAAAAAATCTTCTTCAAAAAAACCCCAATGAGCTAGAACTTAGATATTTAGCATGAAACATCTTCTTATTGGTGTCTACCAAGTTTGTTCAAATAAAAGCCCTTGGGTTAAAACTGGCCCTGCCGGAGGGGGTGGGGCAGGTAATTGTTTTTCATTATATGTGTGTAGTAAAAACTAAACAGAATGAAACATCTTCACATGGGTGTCTTCCAAGTTTATTCAAATAAAAGCCCTAAGGTTTAAACTGGCCCCGCTGCGGGGGCCACTATACAGGTGAGCGACCTCAGGGCCATCATGGTCCTCTTGTCTTTTTTTCTCATAACTTCTTTATTTCTTAATGTATCTACTATACAAACTTCATAAATATGTTTCTTATTATCGTTCAAATCATTTGTGAGAAGGTTTAATACTCTAGCTTGCCTATTTTCAGAATAATGCCCCCCCCCTCCCCTTGAACTTAAGTTTTTTTCTAGAAATTAGTACTTTTTACTCAAACTTCGTCATTCCTTTTCGGATTTACTTCAAGCTCCCACATCATAATAATATGACAAGGTTTACAAATCTGACATTCATATCTCTAGAATTATCTCCTCCTTGAACTTTAAATTTTCCTTTCATTCTTTAACTTCCTTATTTCATCATGGATTTATTTTAACTTCAAATAGACATTAATAATCAACACCTACATCACCCATCAGAATGTTGCTGGGGTTCTAACCGGTAGGAGACTTATGGATGACTTGCAATACTATGATAATTGCTTGTTATTTTTGTTTATAGCACAAAATTGCAACTTCTGGTGAAATTTAAATCCGACATTGTATATGTTGTTTACAGATATGTTTAGGATAAAATCTGCCTAAAATATAAAACTGTCCCACTCAAGATTGTTATAAACTGAACAGATAATTTCCGATGGCTATTTAAATTACAGAATCTCCTTGGGCCATGTGAATTACCTTTTCAGTCACTATATGTCCTTGGATAGCTCTAGTGTCTCTTTAAACACGACTGAAAACAGTTGTTTTTACTGTGTTCATATATATGTACCTGTTAACAGATAATTCTGATTTTTTTTTACTTTTTTCATCATTGAGAATTCAAAATCAAAAGCGCTCAATTTTAATGTAAACAACATATTCAGTTTTCCAATTACACAAGCATTTACCAATGATTTCACTTTGTGGAGAAAAATAAAACACAATTTATATGTTTTAAGCAATAATTTTAAACATTTGTTTATCCAAACTCAATACATTATGTTTATATAAACAAATATATATACTATTAAAACATTAAATTTGTTATTTTTATTTTTTTTGTAATAATACACCATGCCAGTCCTTAAAATGCGAAGTATGACGGAAATTTCCGAAAAGTTACGGGTAATGGTATACTATATAATCCAATTTAAATGTTGGTTAATCACCATTATAAAAGGCAATCTTTTGAAAAACATATAAAATTCAGCTCAACTTCACAATAAAAAAGTGAGCATAATTTCACTTAAAAATTAATTACATACACTGACGCCATAATAAGTGTAATACTTTTGCCAATAATTATTAATTATAAAACTTTTCGTCTCTATAATGCATGCAACATTACTATAACGGTAAGGTAAAATGTGATATTGTTAATATATATAAAACATTTAAACAAACAATTATAATGACAACACAATAGAAAACTCCCATATTCAAAACGAATTTAAACTTTCCCCTTTCGGAATACTTTGAATTTATTTAAAATTGTTTCTGTAATTGTAAATATACAAAATTATCCGTTCAGTAAGCATCATTCGAAAATGTTATTCTACTTATCTCAGAAACAACTTTATCTGAGTTTCATTTCAGTGAACTTAATGGAGGTATAAAAACCTTTCCATGAATCCCAAATGATGCATATATAAGTACAAGTTGCCTTTTGAGAATACAAACCATTTAAGTGTGAGGCAAAACAAGTATTGAACCACCAGGCGCCCTTATACATAGAAGCACAATGTCCGCTTGAGTTGTCATTATCATTATCTTTTGTGCTGAATTCCATTCCATCATGTATATGTCCCTTATCGTTTGGTGCCTCAAGAGAATCTCCGGCATTACCAGTGTAACCACCCACTTCGAGTTTGTACTTCATTTCCTCCGGCAGAATTTTAAAGCTACTATACTTGGCATACGCACGATTTCCATCAAAGTCTTCTAGATCAATTCTCAGCTCGTGTTGTCTATTATCATCGGTCAGTAGATTTAAGTAGTGGTTCCCAAGCCAAAACTCGCCATTCAAATCACCAAATCCAGTCTTATATTCTTCCCAGTCTCCAAAGAAGTCCACACTTCCATCTTGACGTCGTTGGAAGACTGTCCATCCTCCACCGTCAGTATCCATGTCACAGTAGACAGACAGCGGTTTTTCTAGGCCAATATCTATTTGATATACACCATTTAACTCGACTCCATTATTGTACAGATCTAAACACGAATTAAAAGGCTTCCTAATGACAAAATGTTCAACGTAGTTAATTTTTTGTTCCAATCGTTTGGTTGCATTGTATATATAGTTAATATTATCAAAACACCTTTCTTGTGCTTCATTCAGCTGTTCTGTGTTTTCCCGTATGCTATTAGTACCAGCCACAATTTTGTCAAGTTTTTGTTCTTCAATATTCTTTTTGTTTTCATATTGTTTCGTAAAGTTATCAGAAAAAAAAATCAATTTTGGCGATAGCGCTTTGTAACCGATTACTATCATTTTGATATCCTTCGGTCTTCTTTGTTATATGCTCTATTCCTTTCAAAATGTATGCAAGGACTTCGGAGCTTTTGTCAATTTTAGCGAAAGCGCTTTGTAACTGATTACTATCATTTTGATATCCTTCAGTCTTATTTGTAATATGCTCTATTCCTTTCAAAATGTCTGCAAGGACTTCGGAGATTTTATCTGTTAGAGTTCTTAGATCGGAAAATTGCCGTTGTAATTCGTGTGTTTTACGTCTTATTCGACTATTTGTCATTTTCTCATCTTTAAAACCAATACTCAGTCGATGAATCTTTTCTTCTAATTCTTTACTAGTATGTTCTTTTACTTCATCAGTATGTTTAGTTTCTTTCCCATCACTGTTACCCTCCAAAACTTGTTGAAGCATTTCTTTAATGGAAGAAATCTCATGATACAATGAACCGAAATCATCTCTCCTAAACTTGTTTTCTGCATTTATTCTATCTTCAATGTAACTCAGTCTGTTATTTATTTGATAAAGTGTCAATCCGTATATTGAATTCACGTAAAGATAACACAGTAAACCTTTATAAATCAACATTGTCATTTCTGAAATATGTCCGTTTTATTCATATAATCTTAACTTTATAAATGGTGGGAAAAGAAACTTTTTACATCTTTATTACGCACCGTCTGTAAATAAGTGCTGTCGATTCTATCAGTTTCAGTGCGCCAGATATTCGGGCATTTAGTTTACAAGGAAAATGTAAAAAAAATAAACCGTAAAACATGTGTTTCTACTTCCATCAGAGATTTAGGTATGGTATACAGTAACGTACTGAAGTTACTTTTACACAGTTATTTTTTCCGCGACAATAATTCTAACAAAAGACGGCAAGAGATGGCATTACCTAATGGTACACGCGTTTGACTGGATATCTGTGTGGGTTCAAACCACGTTAGAGACCACCGTTGTTTCTATGAGCAAGAATCTTCACTCTTATTGCTTAGTACTGATTAGTTCCAGGAACAGATAACGTGTACACAAAAGCTTATAGCTTTATTTACTGGTTGAGGATGACTTCAGGCCCGAACGAACACCTGAATAGAACCACCAACGTTCCGTAAGCTAGCTGGATAGCTTCCTCGCATTTTAAAATGCAATATCCCTGTGAAATTCAGACCACTTGTCTCTCGACTTTAAATAAACAATAAGTAATAGCAAGAGGTACAAGAGGCATGACCACCCCCCATCCCTCTACCGAGAATAAATCATATTACCAAGTGTTCTGATGTTCTTTCTCTTATGTAGTTCATAGGCAAAAAAAGCACTTCCCTGTCGTCACAATATTGACCCTATTTAAATATACGAGCATCTGAGTATGATTTTCTATATCATTTATCCATTTTCCTGACGTCATAATGAGTATAATCCACCAATCAACCAGCATGCTTTATTTTTATCCCCGACAGACAGTGCGGTAACTGGAGTGCAGGTAACTAATGCCTGAACTGTATATTTATGCTGACACAATGACAAATATTACACAAATTCTGTATAAACTAACATAGATATGGATACCAATGCTTTGAGTTTCTTAATATTCGTGTTATTAGTCATTGTTGGATTTAGAAATAACTAATAAATAAATATTCCAAAACTAGATAATCAATATGTTTTAAGTCAGCTCTAGAAAGATAATGATAGCAGCCTGAAAATACAAATGTGTTTGCTTTTGTAAACACATGATTAGGGAAAACTGGAAAATAAAGTGTACACCATCGATGAATTTGCAGAATATGCATCAAGTCGCCTGATAAACATTTCAATTTATGCACAAGATAATGATCCAGCAGGAAATATAATCAAATGATAACCGAAAGCCATTGCTGAGACGATAATGGGAATATATATATAATCTACCAAGTGGTAGATTTTACAGAAACTTAATTGAATGATCCTAAGATGGTCCTCCACATAAATTTATATGACGCAAAATTATTGATATATATTGTATTATTCCGTAAATAAAATTCAATGCAGAAATCACTGGGTTTACAGTATCGCGATAATTATATCAAAATATCTGCAAAATTTCTCGGAAAAAGCAAAAACTACGAAGATATCCTGGTTAATATATGCTTACAACAGACTTCAACCTTGATTTCATATTAAGATATCATTCCTATCGTGTGAACCTGCTAAATAACACCGCATTTTATAGGATATCCTGGTTAATATAATATGCTAATGGAACACGTGCAACATTTTCTTAATTTTACAATGCAATCAGCATGATACTATTCAGGACTGTTACGAACAATTTTTCATTGTAAAACTCAAAATATTTTGGGGTTTTTTTTATTTGCATGTTAAATCAAATAATGTTTCAATCCTAACACCAGCTTTTGTTTACATTGTTGCATTCCATGCATACACTGCCATAGACAAATGTTCTCTTAAAATGCATTGTTACATTTTAGTAATATCGTAATTCTGTGAATTGCCGTACGTTATGAGACATTGTTAATGATAAGTGAGCTCCTTTTACCCGCGTTTAGCAAGGGATATTGGTAATAGGTGCTGAGGTGGGGCGTTCCGAATTGTGTACTATAACAAATTTACAATAACAAGTTAATGCGTTTTTAGATCCAACATTTATTTGAGAATATTTAATTATTGTAACTACTTACAAATTTACAATAAAATCGATCGTTTTTAACTTATAACATTATCTATTGCTTAAAGTATATAATTGATGTTATTTTCCAAATGTTTAGATATGTGTAAAAGCCTGTTTTTTTTTAGAAAACAGAAAATATAATCGATAAACTGAGGATTTTCTTAAGTTCTCAATCATGGTAAGATGGAATCACAATTATCTTGTTTAGCTTCCATACATTAACATATACTCTTACATCGTGTCCCGAAATTGCTATAAATATAGGGAAATATAGCCAGTCCTTTTTGTAAGACAAGTTTAATTTTCATCCCTTTGAATCAAATCATGTTTCATCATTTTGCTCCACACAGAGAATTTTCCGTATATCTGAGACATTTACTTATAAGAGTTTTTTGATAAAGGACAATTCGTTATCGTTATCCGTGAATAATAACCATTCCGTTCCAAATTGGTTCTGTTTAAAGATTTATGACCTACAATTAAAGTCAATGTACCTAAAAAATCATGGTTTTATATGATTAATATGTTGTTCAAATGAAGTTATCAAAAATCTTAGTTACAAAACGCATTCCTTAGAAAGATATAATCGCATTTAACAATTCATGTACATAAAAGTATGTTTTTGGAAATATATTTCTTATAAATGTTTTGAATAATGTTCCAATAAAAAATATGTGTATTATTTTCGTCAGTTTTATTTCTCAGAAATAAATTCCTAGCTATTCTAAATTCTTTTTCAACCCAAATAGCACGATTTCATCAAACCATTTCGACTTTTATGTGTCCGAATTTGTATAATATTATGTATAATGTTTATAATATATAAACGTAGGCATTATGATGCTAGTGAATTTACTCAAATTAAAAAGAGTAATTTCATTTCTGGGCAAAACAATGGACGGTATCTGAAATATTGCTGTAGGAAGGAATTTCTTTCTGTATTAAAGAAGGTACATTAAAGTAAATAGTGTTGCTCCGAGTCTATATCTCCGGAGTTACAGAGCCTACATGTGCTATCTAGAAAAGCGGTTCCCGTCCCCAACGTGCTGTTTCAATTTGTAAACGGTTGTTACATTAAATAAAGAGATATGTCTGACTGTTAAATGTAAAATAAAATCTAAAGCTATCTTTTGGAAGTACTTTGTTGAAATATTTCTCGTATTCTTAAGGGCTATTTTAGTCCGCTTTGTCATTAAAACGACACATACTTTCTCAATCGCATCATCTCGGCACTTTCCGATAAACATCGGATAAGAACCTCGAAACACACAGAACGGATACGGTATTTCGGCATAACCTCGCGGTGCATCAGTACCCTCTTTGCGAAATCTACTTAAACGATAACCTCTGTGCTCATACACATGTCATTCTCTGCTGAAAACAAGATGGCGACATACACCGATCCAGGAATTGATCATTCTACTGATTAAAGCTGGAGTGTCAAGTGAAAAAAAATATACCACATAACACTAGAATGATTTAACTTTGTCTTTGTCCATTTTTCATTTACTGCAACTCCACAATAAGCTACACAATATCGCGATGCTTCCACACCGTGCCCCGGCATGTCTGTAGGTGGTTTAATTATGTACACATAATACATTTTAAATATACCCATTTTCATATTATTTTTGAACAAATCGAAATAAAAAGTCAAAAATCCATTTTATTTCATAAAGACACCTTACTTTTGGTTTCTCAGTGGCACACCTGGTTACCTCTGTCACAGGTACTGTCACAGGTACCCTCTCATTTTTTAAGCACCGGCACCCTCTTAAATGAAGCACAGTATTAATTTTCGAGTTTTATTAATTTTACTATTTTGTTGATATTTTTTGCGTTAAAGAACACCGAAAGGAAGAATTGAATTTGCAACACGCATGTTTATGCACTACTACATGTAGTAAGTATCATGTAATTAAAGTAACAATATTTAGCAATAAATAAGCAAAGCTAACTCGGGCTCTAAATGCGCCCTCGTGCTAATGCAGGTGTTAATACCCGAAAAAATAGGTATTAATTTGAAAAAAAATAAAGTTGTTAATCTTATCAAAAATTGCAAAGTTGGGTTCTAAAACGGTAGTCGAAAATTTATTTTCACACGTACATGTACTCAATTATGGAACTCCATTGCTGTCGCATAACGCATATTTTATGAAATTGTCGATGGGACATGACACGTTTCACGTACAATGTTTAGTTGTCTTTTAGTTATTTTATGTCGGTCATGTAATATTCCAAATTACTACCTTTGTATGTCTATGTGTTATGTGAAATTGTCATAAGGTAAAATAAAAATCTCGAGGAAAAAAGTGTTATCCTTTGTTTAACCTTTGAGTTAAGTTGCCAAGCTTGTAGCGTAGTCGAATTTTTTCTTGGAATATGTTTAATTAAGTATCAGGTAAAATTGCCAATATAACATTTGAACTTCAAAACATCATAATTTATTATTAGACTCTAAACCCACGTCTTAAATTGGCAAATTACAGTTTACGTATATCTGTAAATATAATATAAAAATCTCAATACAGCATTTGAACTATTAATTAGACGGTTACGTAGCAGACGTCAATTGGATTGCCAAATTACCGTTTGATTATGTTTTAATGTCTCTGGAAATTGTGAAATAGAGCATTTATTTGAACTTCTCAAAACATTGCATTAGATTGTGGAATAGAAGTCTTAAATTGTTACTGTTGATGTTTTTATATACATGTATTTAATATCGGTTGTCAACAATGAAACCATGGTGTATGGAAAAGTTTGCATGCCATGTTGACTGTTTCAGTTGTCAATGTCACAATGTATACACATTAAATTAAACAGCAGACGATCTAACACGTGACTGTGAGCCAACATTTTAACACCGGGTTTTAAAATTTTAAAAAAATCCCCTAAATAATGACAAATTCTTCTTAGAAATGTTCAGATTGCAGTCCGACAAATTAACGTTCAAAGATAACGATCTAGCATGATGTTTTATATGTTAATATGCGCTTTATATTGGCTGTTCTACATCGTCTTTCTCACACCAGAATGTCTCAGTTTGAAAATAAAACATGACAAACTAACTAAATAGTGCTAGTTTAACCATTTATTTAACCATTCATTTAAGGTCACTAAATTTAAACAGGTGAACATCGTAAATGATGAATTGAAGAACTCACACACATGATTATATACCACAGATAATTACAAAAAAGACACATTTTTTAAGGAACACATATCTAGTCTCAGACATGTTTTTTAGATTTTTAAATTTTTAATTTTTTAGATTTTAAAATGTAAGGGGAAAAAGTAAGAATAAAATGCATTCATAGCTTGTAAGAGTAGTGTATCCTATTTTTGTGGGGTTTTTTCACCTTACTTTTATAAAACAATTTTTCTATAGTAACGAATGTTGCATTTCGCAAATGCGCATTATGCGCAGGGCAAAACATGCAATAACGATGACTAAAAATTATCATATTTAATTTTAAACGCTTTAATAGACGTGATTCAAGTTACGCTCCAAGATAACAGTAATTTTGGGATGACTTAAAGCAGTAAGTAATCAGTAAAACGTGAATTGTATCTATAACAGACGAATCTATGAGGGATGACATGAGAGCATATAAAAAAGTCCTCTTTTTAAGATACCATTAGAGGACTTTTCCATCAGAACTTTAAGTGTTAAAGATTAAATTGTATTACCCCCTGTATAACATAACATTACACAAGTGGTACTATAAACTTGTAAGTGGATTGGCAAGGTGGTAAGTGTCAAGGGGATTGGTACGTGATTCAAGCTATAATTTACAATATCATTCAACCGGCACGTTTCAGTACCACGACACAGTTAATCACGTGAAATAATGAAAATCGTTATTTAAAAAACTTAAGCATATACTGTACAGGTACCAATTTTACTAGTTTTCTGTTTGGCATCAATATGGTAAAGGATAAAATCAGGTAAACTGAAAGGGCAAGTCAGGTAAATCTAAAGAATAACTAGTTTGCCAATCTAATAATAAATATAACGTGTTCTGGCATTTTCAAAATGATAATCAACCTCGATTTCTTTTTTATATGATTTTTTTAACAACAGTTAAGTAAACCTCTTTATTTGCTGATAGATATATTGTCACATTTTTTACAACAATGTAAATATCGATGTCAATGTCAGTTCCGTGATCGTAGGGGGAAAATTCTTAAACAATCGTCTTTTCCATGCATTTTTATGGCAAACTTGGAGGCCTCTTTACGTTTTTGTTTAAAGCTATTTCATATAATTTTATACTCTTTAACCTTAAATTTACTCAGAATTGTCTTTGAATTTCTACTATATTTAAATGTAGGGCGATGGTCTTTTTGTCCTACGCAGATTGTGCATGCGCAGGAAAATACTAACTTCCGATCGACTTTTTCATAGCAACGGACGCGTCGTAAAAAGGTCTAAACTATTGTTTACTATTTTTACAAATTTATTGTTGACTTGTGCTAATATTAATTCACATGTTTATATACCAAAAATGTGACTATAAGCTATAATGGCCTTGTAAATTGTGTATTGTGAAATTTATGAAAGAATTAAGCTTCCTCTTCTTCTACTTCTTTTTCTTTTTCCTCTACTTCTTCTTATGTACACTACGATTGATAATTTCAAACGAAACATGGACACATGGAAAACAACATTGCAATGTCAAGTGCAGTCATGTTGCCGAGACTATTTAACAAACTATACGAGATCTATGGCGTTCCATACTAAATCGTTATTTTTCGGCCCTTTTCGTCTGCTTCCGACTGATCGGTCATATGACAGTAACGTTATCAGAGAAAGTATTCATATCGTGTAATTGTTTATCATAAGGATCAGAATGAGTTAATTGCTGTTAAATTACAAACACAATCTTAATAAAGTTTATATCGGATTTACTAGATCTACATGTCAAAATAGATACGTTAAAATGGATTTATATTTAAACAAGGCCAGTGGTTCATTATTTAGGACACTGCTATTTACATTTACAATATGTAGCTCGACAGCACAGTTTGAAATGGGTATGCACGATGTTAATCTGAAGGAAATAGCAGCGCCATTACTCTCAGATGTCAGAGTCACAAACGAGACTTTCACGTTTGAGAAGATAATGAAAAGTCATTTTGGCAGTGCGCTTAAAGGTCAGACTTTCTTGGACGTTTTAAAACTTGTGAAAAGTAAGTTTAAAGTGTCTGCTAACTGTAGATCCGACACAGATTTAATGAAAAATGACACAGATTTATTTATAAAGTACGCAGACTCGGCTTCTAAGATTCCCTTTGGAATTCTTCAAGGAAAATTCAGCTGGGTTGGTGACTATCAGGAATGTCATGCGATCGATTCGGTGTCAAACCCTTCGACTGGTAAATCTTTCAAAGGGAAATATTTTTCAGCTGTTTTATTGTTAAATGGTAAGCCAATATTTGGTGCAAGCACAGTTGTGCTTGGTGTGTGTATGCCGGACTCTTGCGGTGGCGATGAGGTTAAATCAATTCTGAATGAAGTTCTTTACCTGATAAAAATCGAAGCAATGACATTTTTCCCTGACCTTGCAAAAGAGAATCTATTCGTTTATGAAGTGTTCCCTGAAATTAGTAAACCGCTTGACAAAGGTGCTATAGCCGTGATAGTTATTTTCAGTATATTGTGCGCAATAGTGTTGATTTCGACCGTTGTCGACTATGGATACTCATTCACAGTGAACAAGGAGGTCACAATCATACACCCAAGATATGATGTCGCTTTTGAAGATTCAACGGACCGAACAGAGCTGCTTTCAAATGTTCAAATTCAAGAAAACCAGTGCAGTGGATTTAAACACAAATTTTTAAATATCTGCCGTGTTTTTTCATTTGTTACAAATGGGAAGAAATTATTAGGGACAGAAACAGCGGTGGGTCCCCTTGCTTCTCTGAATGGTATCCGGGTTCTCAGTATGTGGTGGGTTATTCTGGGTCATACTTATTTCTTTGCCGTTTTTAACATTGACAACGTTTTGGAGGCATCGAAACTAACGCAAAGGTTTAGTTTCCAGCCAATCGTGAACGGGACATTTTCTGTTGATAGCTTCTTTTTTCTCAGCGGCTTACTGGTAGCATATTTAAGTTTTAAACAGATTAAGGAGAAGGGAACATTAAATTGGCCTTACTACTTTTTGCATCGTTATTGGCGACTTACACCACTTTACCTCTCAATTATTCTTTATTACGCGTTTATATCACCGTATACAATAACTGGTCCAAACAGTTATACCGTGTATCAACAGGCGTCGCAGAATAGCTATGAGGTATGCAAGAAGTACTGGTGGACAAATCTTTTATACATAAATAATTTTTATCCGAATTATGGGAATATACAAACAACGTGCATAGGCTGGAGTTGGTATCTTGCTAATGATATGCAGTTTTATTTGTTTCTTGGCCCAATCTTCATTATTTCATTTGGATTGCGTGGGAAACTAAAATATATTGGTTTTGCATTCATTGCAGCTATCTTCTTAGCCGGCGTTGTTGTTAGGGGAATTCTTGTTTGGTATTTTGGAATATATTCTTTGGCCGGACAGGCTACCAAACACATTGACAATCCCTGGAGTCAAAATAATCCAATCTATGATAAACCTTATGCCCGATGGTCAGTATATCTGATAGGTATGGTAACAGGTTACGTCCTCGCATCCACCAATAATAAGATAAGATTGAAAAAGGGTGTAGTAGCTATTGGCTGGTGTGTTGCTATAGCAACAGGTACTGCTGTAGTTTACGGTATGTACCACTATAACCACACAGCTGGTACCCACATGACACTTCTCCAGAGTGTATGTTACATTGCTTTGAGCAGACCTGCATGGGGCTTGTGCCTTTGCTGGGTTGTTTTAGCGTGTGTGTCCGGTAATGGTGGTCCTGTAAGTGACATTTTGTCATGGAAAATATGGGCTCCACTCGGGCGCCTGACATACGCGGCATACCTTGTACATCCGCTTATCATGATGACTTACAATTTTAGTGCCCTTCAACCTTTACACTTTTCAGATCTGTTCATGATTTATCTATTTATTGCGAATCTCGTCGTGTCTTATATTGTTGCATTTATTGTATCAATGCTTATCGAAGCGCCGATGATCCAATTAGAAAAGCTGTTACTTGCTCCTTTGAGTACATTTGGTAGGAGGTTTGTTATTGGCCCATTGTGTCGTCTTGGCTCGAGATTGAAAGCCATGGTACCAGTTAGGACCAGAAACATGTAGTAGATAAACGACTGTTGTATTAAAAAAACTATGTTCATAAACAATAAGCATAGTCATACCATCGGATTCTATCGTCTGGTTGTCGAAATCCGCCATCTTTTTAATGGCGGAAGGGGAAGTGGGGGAAGGCGGGGTTATTCCTGGGGTGAGGATCTTTGTTAGAATAGAATGTTGCATAACATTTGTAAAAACACCTTTATTTCACAGATTTTCGTTGATGACATTTGTATTATTTCTTCCGGTGATAAGATACATTATATATTATGAGATATGTTATATTAGAGCCGTGTCATGACAAAACCAACATAATGGGTTTGCGACCAGCATGGATCCAGACCAGCCTGCGCATTCGCGCAGTCTGATCAGGATCCATGCTGTTCGCTATCAGTTTCACTACTTGTTATAGGGTTTGTAAGCGAACAGCATGGATCCTGATCAGACTGCGCGGATGCGCAGGCTGGTCTGGATCAATGCTGGTCGCAAACCCATTATGTTGGTTTTGTCATGACACGACTCATTTAATTTCTATACATAAGTCTTGTATACATGTAATAACTTCATTTTTGTAAAAAAAAATGCTTCTTTTTAAAGTGAAAATAATGTTTAAAAAAATAAGTGACTTTTGTGTCCATTTTGTGACTAAAATGACAATATTTCCGAACGATGCTTATATTGAATGATCTGATAGTTTCCCTTTGTTTTGTAGATGTGACGTTTTTCTTCATTGTTTGCTGATCATACCATACTGTATAGAATTTGTTTGTTTTTGTGTTATGTTTTTTTGTTGTTTTTTGTTTTTGTTTTTTGTTTTTGTAAAAAAATACAGTTTCTTTTCTTTCTTATACCTACATCTAACAAACGTGCTAGCTAAGTAATTAAATGTTAAATTATAAAAATATATATCTGAACTGGAAAAAAATCTAAGAAAAAATATTTATAATATTTATTTTTTTAAGAATTCATGCAGCTTTGAGATAAATTAAGATATACATTTGTAAAACACTTTTATGTCAATTTAAAATGAATTTTGAGAGCATATTGTTCCTTGATAAAGGATCAAGGGGTAACGTTTTTATAGGTTCTCTGTAAATGGTTACCCCCTGTAGAATATTTTGTCTCTTTTATCATTATAAAAGAAAAATTGCACCGAAGACAACGGTAATTTCAGTAAATATAACTTTTAGTAAACTTAAAGATATTTGTAAATTTTATATCATTGGAAAACTCATTTAAATGTACAAGAAAAGCATTTGGTATAAGAAAATTACGGTTATTAAGTGACATTATGTTCATTTATTCGTTGTCAAGTTCAGATTTATTGGTTACATATTTCTAAAGATTGATTGTTTATGTGGTGATTGATTTGAAAATGTTTTGTATAAAGTAAAAATGTGATTTAAAATATAAAAAGACTGCCCCACCCACTTTTTTAAACTGAACGATACAGGTAAATTCTGATAGATATTTACAGAAATTTTCTAAGGCCATGTGAGTTATTTATATTCTGTGTAAAGTAAATTTAAAAATAAAAGGAATTATGCCAAATTATAAACTTATTTTGACTGTCACAAGTTCACTAACAATATACCCTTGAATGGGCATAATGTCACTTTAATTAATGAATGATTATCGTCATATTTTTCTCCAATCCATTTTTGCTATACCATGTACATGTATATAAATAATCTCAGTAAGATGTTTGACCTTATAGCTGGTCACGTATGGAGGGCGTTCGTTGCCAAAATTCCAGACATGTAAAGTGTTCCTTTTGAAAATGCAAACTTGTATGCCTACCATTTTTATTGTACCCGTGCATAGCACATATTATGCTTTTAATTGAAGGTTCCCGCCTTTATATAACAAGTTTACATATAGATCGTAACAACTGACCTAACATGGAAAACAACAACAAAGTTACAAGTTCGTATCTTCCATTGCGCAAGTTTGCACACTTATAGATATCTATATACGTGTATACCTGATATATACAAATGAAATGTAAAACTCAAATCCTGAAAATAGAGTTTAAAAAAAAAACGTTTTCCCAGTTGTAGAACACTACAAGAGTACGTTTACACAGTAACATGTTTAATATTCACAAAGTTAAACGATTTTAAGTCATGCATGACGCCCCGCCCCTCTCTGAGTATTTACGAATTTTTATTGCGGACAGGTATAAAACCCCGTCTCTCCCCTATTTCTAAATATAACTGAAGGAAAACATGCCGCATTCTTCTTAACATATTTTTGTTACAAAAGTTTTGTCTTTAGCTGCATCACTTGAAAATTGCTGATTTTGCCATTTATTTGATACAAATGATTAAGCTAACTTGTGCACTAACTTCATGTTTTCCTGAGAAACATCGGCGATTTGGAAATTTTTTTTGGGAAAAATGATCAACTTCAAGCGAGTAATTTTATTAATAATCTAAAAACCTTCCAATATTTGTATTGGTATCATTGAAAAATGTATATGGCACAAATTTCATTTCAACAAAAACTATGCAAGTTTCGGAAAAATAGGATTTTAAAGTGGCTACCGTGATTTCCTTTCCGAAATCATGAAAGTACTTATCCATAGCACGTATGTGCAATCTTTAATAAGGTATTTTCGGTATAAATAAATAATTATTAAAACTGATCACGGAATAAAAAAGTAAGTAGGGGGCGCCGTGTTTATTTCAATTCAAAATTATCAAAATTGATTACGAAATAAAATAAAAAAGTGTTAAGGGGACTTTTTCTTACCGAATTTGAAAGAGATATATCTATTTGAAAGTGTGATTTTCAGAGGAAAAAAATGATAAATTATGTAACAAAAATTTTAATACATATCTATTTCATATTTAGTTCATTTTTATTTCTGAGGCATTCATAGAAAGCTTATGGAGTAATCTTTCATTTGATACCAAAATTGATTAACTTTTTATAAAAATAAAAAAGTTAGAAGTGACAACGTGTTTTCTTCACTTTATTGAGAAATAGGAGTATTATACCTGTCCGTACATTTCGGTAATAGAAGTTCGTAAATACTCAGAGAGGGGCGGGGCGTCATGCATGACTTAAAATCGTTTAACTTTGTGAATCTACTTTTGTCATCTTAAACATGTTACTGTGTAAACGTACTCTTGTAGTTCTACAACTGAAAACACGTTTTCTTCAACTCTATTTTCTGTATTTGAGTTTTACATTTCATTTGTATATTTCAGGTACAGATATATATCTATAAGTGTGCAAACATGATTATGTATTATATGCAATGGAACATACGAGCTTGAAAATTTGTTGTTGTTTTCCATGTTAAGTCAGTTGTTAAGATTTACATGTAAACTTGTTATTTAAAAGCGGGTGCCTTCAATTAAGAGGCATATTATTTGCTGTGAACGAATACAATCAAAAATGCTAGACATGCACCTTCGCATTTTCAAAAATAGTTTTAAAAAGGAGCACTTTACCTGTCTGGGATTTTGGCAACGAACGATTTCCATAGTGTACAATACTATAGCATTTATTTCTGTGAGCTATTCATTACTTTATGTGATATTCGGAAAATAAAGTTTATTTTTTAAAAAATCGATTTTGTAGTCTCGAGATAAAAAATTTATTTGAGAGCAAATCTATGAATCATGAAACAACTATTGTGTTTTCGTGATCCCTGTATTTTTTAAAGAAAAAAAAATCTTTTCATATGTGTACTTAAACAATATATCCATTGTGAACAAGCTGGGTTGCATGATTTAGTTGCAATATATAGTCAAAGTTTAATGCATGTGGCACGCTGACTGACCAGCTACTTTAGACTCCATCTATTTATTTCTGGGTATTCCCAACCCTTCTTGCGGGTTGTACTTTTAGAAGAAGTGTGCGTCGGAAGTGGTAGTGAATGGTGAGACTAACAGTTAAAACACGAAAATTAAATTTATAAGGATAATGAGAGACTTTTAGGGCATTCATATCATCGTCCATATGTTTGTTTATTATTATTATTATTTATTATTATTATTATTATTATTATTATTATTATTATTTTTGGTTTGGGGTTACATCTCACTAGGAATGTAATATGACAACTTTCTGCTTTACTGGTTGAATAGAGGCAGGAACGGGAACCTAGTAAAATCATCTACGTTCCGTAAGCAAACTTGATTGCTCCATCACATGTAAGAAGCGGTAATCGAAGCCAACGACCAGAACCACTCGGCGACGGACGCCCCTTTGTTAATTAGAAAGATTGATGAAAAGTATATAGTATGAAAAGTATAGACAAGTTAGACACAACATCTTCCGCCCTTTAGAGGCGATAATTATCGCGTGTTACTAGCGAAATATTGTGGACGAAATAGGATTCCGTAGCTGCCACAAATAAGTGGTGCATATGTAGATATCATGTGGCGGGGCAGCACAATTTTATATTTTTACGGAAAGTCCACACCACACTAGGTGTAAACAGAAAGAAGACAGATTTTGACACAACAAATTGACAGAAACAAATATAGAAATAACACAGATGATTTTATACACGTACTGTGACAGTATAAGTGCCTCTTGCACAGAAATAAGCTCAAATATTTTTTCTCGGTTCAATATCAGCATACATTCATTCACCAAAGTTTTTTTTAGTTAATTATTCATACATACCAGTTGATCTTATTCATTTTTACGTTATATGCAGCTATTCTTCTGAATTGTGTCAAAATACATACATGTACCTTCTTGTTGTTTACCTGTTGTTTTTTTATTATTTTTATTTATCTTTAAATTTAAATTCATGGCCCTTAAGGGCATAACAGTGAACAAACAAATACAATAAATAATAAAACAAATAAATAATAATAAAACATGGAGTTGAAGTTATCTTCAATGGATGCACAGTAATACAAAAACCCTCACCGTTTCACGTACAAGACAGTGTAAAAATATATTTTGTAATGGCAGGGTGAGAATATTGTATGTAATGACAGGATGAGAATATTGCATGTAATGACAGGATGAGAATATTGTATGTAATGACAGAGTGAGAATATTGTATGTAATGACAGGATGAGAATATTGTATGTAATGACAGTGTGAGAATATTGTATGTAATGACAGAGTGAGAATATTATAATTATGTAATGACAGGGTGAGAATATTGTATGTAATGACAGTGTGAGAATACTGTATGTAATGACAGGATGAGAATATTGTATGTAATGACAGGATGAGAATATTGCATGTATGTAATGACAGGATGAGAATATTGTATGTAATGACAGGATGAGAATAATGTTTGTAATGACAGGATGAGAATATTGAATGTAATGACAGTGTGAGAATATTGTATGTAATGACAGGATGAGAATATTGTATGTAATGACAGGATGAGAATATTGTATGTAATGACTGTGTGAGAATATTGAATGTAATCACAGGATAAAATATTGTATGTAATGACAGGATGAGAATATTGAATGTAATGACAGGATGAGAATACTGTATGTAATGACAGAGTTAGAATATTGTATGTAATGACAGGATGAGAATATTGTATGTAATGACAGAGTTAGAATATTGTATGTAATGACAGTGTGAGAATATTGAATGTAATGACAGGATGAGAATATTGTATGTAATGACAGAGTTAAAATATTGTATGTAATGACAGGATGAGAATATTGTATGTAATGACAGGATGAGAATATTGTATGTAATGACTGTGTGAGAATATTGAATGTAATGACAGGATAAAATATTGTGTGTAATGACAGGATGAGAATATTGTATGTGATGACAGGGTGAGAATATTGTATGTAATGACAGGATGAGAATATTGTATGTAATGACAGAGTGAGAATATTGTATGTAATGACAGGATGAGAATATTGTATGTAATGACAGGGTGAGAGTATTGTATTTAATGACAGGATGAGAATATTGTATGTAATGACAGGATGAGAATATTGTATGTAATGACAGAGTTAGAATATTGTATGTAATGACAGAAAATATTGTATGTAATGACAGAGTTAGAATATTGTATGTAATGACAGGATGAGAATATTGTATGTAATGACAGGGTGAGAATTTTGTATGTAATGACAGGGTGAGAATATTGTATGTAATGACTGTGTGAGAATATTGTATGTAATGACAGGGTGAGAATATTGTATGTAATGACAGGGTGAGAATATTGTATGTAATGACAGGGTGAGAATATTGTATGTAATGACAGGATGAGAATATTGTATGTAATGACAGGATGAGAATATTGTATGTGATGACAGGGTGAGAATATTGTATGTGTAACAGGGTGAGAATATTGTATGTAATGACAGGGTGAGAATATTGTATGTAATGACTGTGTGAGAATATTGTATGTGCTGATAGTGTGAGAAAATTGTATGTGATAACAGGGTAAGAAAA